CGCAATACACGAATTGAATCGACGATATGCACCTCTTGAAAGTTGATAAAAAGGGTAAACAGCAAAGTTGGCCCAATTTACGTTAATATCATTTACGAAATAGTAACAATGGTACCAGAATCATGCACACTCGTGCCCTAGTGTTCATAAGAGTAATATGTAGACGCAACTAATTGTAAGGGGAAAGGAGTGTACACTTACGTGGTCTCGAACTGTTAATAGTCACAACGAAAATAATGTTGTGGAAAATCAAACATTCTAAAGACAAAAAATAACCAAATCATAAAAAAGGGAAAAAATTTTCAGTGATTTAAAAAATTATTCCTACCTTGATTAATTTACTCCAATAAAAACGTATAATAATCGACTAAACGGAAAAAATAATTTTATTATGTTTTTATTTTTTTATTTTATTTAAAGTAACTAGGTAAGCTGATTGCGAGACCCTATCTAAAAGCGCAATTTTAGTTTGTATGAATTCATAATTGCCGGAATTTGTAATTTCCTTAAATGACTTTCAATCCAGCCAATCAACAGGAAACCGTTCTTCAACTGCGTGTTTCCTACCAGCATTAGTTAGGATCCTTTAAGGAGGTCTGATAATGAGTTTGTTTGATAAAGTTTTTCGGAGAACAGTTGCATGTGATTTCTTTACCAAAGGATGGGGACGTCCGGATCTCCTTTTACAGTTAGTTCAGGTTTAGAATTTACCATGCAGACTTATTGATAACATGACTCTTGTGAGAAAAGATCCTGACTACATGCGCTATAACTTGACGTACCGCCCTATTATGATTGAGAAGGTACAACATTGGATATGATCGCAATTCGTCTAGAGGATTGAATACAAGAAGTTAATAGAACTTGAGGGTTCCTTTGTATCTCCTATGGAGGATCTTATTCCCGATGCAATGTGTACTAGGAACCGCATTTCACGGTACCCACCACCTTTTGATTATTAGTTAAGATTTCAAATGATCATACCAAAAAAATGGAAGTCGGATCACCGTCCTGTGTGCCTTCATTTTGCTGGTACTGGGGACCACGTAATTTCTCTTGGTTTGTTTGTTAATGTACTCTAGTTCTATTATAGGCGTCGTGTCTTTCTGGCAAATCAGTTAATTGATGATGGTATTGCTTCAGTCATAATTATGAACCCATTCTATGGAACAAGGTTACCGGTGGATCAAAAGTACAAGGGTCTATTTTTTACGTTTTCTATAAATGCAACAATATAGAGGGTCCGGTCTGAACTACTTATCCGACCTTTTCGTAATGGGAGGAGCACTAATCTTGGAATGTCACACAATTCTTCGATGGTGCCAAAACCAGGGCTACGGACCTTTTGCGCTGCACGGTATTTCGATGGGTGGCTATGTGGGTCTAATTTTGTATTCTTTTCGACTTTGCTTCATATTACACCTTTTACGTCCTTTCCTTTACTGCTGTAGATGGCAACTATTTGTGCAACAACGGTTCCCTTTCCTATCTCCCTCATTCCATGCCTTTCTTGGACCTCCGCATCAGTTGTGTTCGTTGAGGTTGGTCCTTAGTTTGTTTTGCGTAATTTGGTTTGCTTCATTTCTAGTTTCTGAATCATCCGTAAGTCTAGTTTCTCCCATGTTTATTATGACACGAGTGTGGCATGTGCTAACTTTTATGTTGCGACGAGCAATTGCTTTGCAGCAACAATGCGTCAAAGCCTCTGTCGACAGATTTCGGTTCAGCGTGCCCATCTAGTAAATTTCACTATGACTGATAAGGTTGCTTTTGTCTCTACACCTTGGTGGGAGATATGCAAATAGATGCAAAAGGGTACGCAAATATAATTACATCGTTGCCTGACGTTTATCTCTGAACTCTCTATCGGCCGATTGGCAGATTTCGACTCTAGCTGCCCATCAAGCATTCCTGTGAACTCTTTGCACGTTCGTGTTTTGCGCTTTAGGTTTCACCTTCGACAGCTAGTGATAAGGTTGAATCCTGTCTTCGTCTCCTTTTTAGAACGTCACCTAGCTTGGTTCCTTT